GTGAATGGGTTATGACATAATTAACTCGTGTTAAGTGACATGAATAAGCAAGGGTAACTGCAGAAGTTTAGCTACCTTCGCAAGTCCCAACTCTACCGCTCCTTAGCTGCGTCAGCGTCTTCATCGTCGCCGGTCACGACTCAATGGGGCATTGGGGAACAGCTGTGCTCCACAGGTTGGTGATTCGATAGCCACCGCAGGTTCCAATGCCACTTTGGGCTTTTCGCGTCCCAAAATTCAACGGAGCCAGCACCGTCGAAAAATCCCCGGATCAAAAATCCACGTCTCGGTCGTCAGCGATTTAAAAAAAAAAGTATTCTCAAGTGCAGCGAGTTGATGGTCGAAAACCCCGGTCGTCAGTGACTGCTCAACAACAACAAAATAAACACCCAACCGAATAACGTTTAGTTTTTACACTTTATTTCGTCTGAATTCCAGCTCTTGAGAATAAAAGAATGGTGGTTTGACTGTCGTGTGACAATCCTAACACCGGGAACGTTTCATCTAACCTACTTGCACAAGTGACACAAAAAAAAGCTGCCTGACAAATAATTTTGGGAAAAGTCTCGTGTCAAAATCTTGTCGGCAGCTGTTGTCCTACACGCGCGGAGCGAAAGCTTTGTGAGATTCCAGTTGTATTCTTCATTCTCGTGGCATTTTTGCCGACAGCATGTTTATTTTAAATTGAAGAAAAAAAAAGACCAAATGGAAACAAGACCATCAACCGCCTGGGGGCAGAAGCATTTATTAACTTGCGGTGTATTTAATTAGCAGCGAGGAGCATTTAGGGGTGAGTCCAGTGAGTAGGTTGTAGTCCTGTCAATAAGGAATTTGAGTGCTATTCTCTTCTAAATGTTTTTTCATTTGTCACTCCCAATTTTTTCCCCATGTAAAATGTTAAACTCGTGGCCAAACAACCCAAGCAGGGCCCTCTTGATCGAGTTTCGAGACTCAAGCGAGGTTCTTCCAGAACCCGTCAGATGTGTTTTATGTTGTTCGGCATGATGTCTGACGTTTCGTGGCACGTGCTGCGAGCTTCAGATACTGAAGAACAACGCTCACTTCCCGAAGAAGCTCGCAGCCCAGCACGTCAGGCATCATGCCAAACAAACACGTGGTACGACCTGAAAACACGTCACTCAAGCTGTACAGCACAACCGTAACAATGAAACGGTATTATTTGTGGGTGAGCGTGTTTCAACAAAACGTGTATGCTTTGTCCTCCTTGACAAGGCGTTGGACAGACCTCTGCCCGCCACCAATTAAATGATGAAGAATCTATTAAATCTCTAAAACAATCCATTGTGCCCCCCTTGCATTTGTGAACACGCCAGCTAAAACTCAAGCACGTAACGTGTGGCGCACCGCAGGACGTCCAACATTTGACGCGACGCGGAGAGAGCGAGGCATTGCACCAGAACGTGTCGCGTCAACCTGCCCTGGTGGAATGCTTCCACGATCGTTTCAAAGCGAAAACGCGTTCACACAGTGTCATATTTTTTTTTGTTTTTCCACTTCAATTCTCGTCGTCAAATATTTCACAAGTCTTTAAAGGTAATTTCGACACCTTTCGTATATGTTAAGCGCGGATCATAACCAAAAAGGAAGGTGAGCGTTTTCTCCGAAACTATAGTTTTGGACATCACAACATACTTCATCATATGCAGCATGAACCATCAACATATTAATACAGTACAGTTTAAGAAAACACGCGTAACAAATATACAATATTATTCATACAACTGGAGTATTAATCACCATTGAAACTATAACAAACCAATCGTCACCATAATCATGATCGTCCTCACCTAATGCCATTTAGAACCAAGGCATATTTGTCATTACATACTGGACAGAATTACTTGGTCTTGATTTGAAGCTTTCGTGACTGCAGGAATCCATACTCTCTGGTTCTTTCGGTAAAGTCACGAAGGTAGAAAAAAATAACAAAAGAAAACACGACGTTTCGGTCGCAACACAAGCGTCCGTCTTCAGGTGAGAAAATTATTTGCTTTTGTGGCTTTATATAGACACGGGGGGGGGAGAGGAGTTTTGTCGAGTCGTGGCTGCAGGAGTTCACTCCTGCAGATCATCTTCTCACCTGAAGACGGACGCTTGTGTTGTGACCGAAACGTCGTATTGGTTTAAATGCCCACGTATGGGTGAGAAAAAAAGTCACTTCATGTGACCGTGGTAATTACTCAAATGTATTCAGCAGCTACAGATTGAGCAGTAATGCAGTGATGTATGATGCACTTCTTTCGCACCGTGCGTAGTCAACCGTGCTAATCGGAGGTGATGAGTATGCCGGCCGCCCTATGAACCCAGTGAAATGAGTTTGACTCCTGGCCATGGTTAACATCAACGGCGAGTTATATCTGAACCAATCCAGCACTCCCACGCAATTCCTGCACCCCCCTTCGCCAACACGCACAGAGGACCAGCTTGATGAAGTATAGTCAACCCACCCACATGGCCAACAGCACATGCGATGGTATGCAGCAGTGGATGGACAGGGAGTGTATATTACTATTGGCATTATTATTCAGTGAGTATCAGCATTATGCTGCTAAAGTAACAGGGAGGCCTGGTTGCCCAATTGTGGGGCAAAAACGAACGGTGTTTTAGTACGCTTTAGCGCACAGAATTGGCTACAAGCTCGTTAAACCATTTATCATTTCCAAAATCAGGTATCCCTCAATTTACTAAAGGGGTGCGTTCTTCAAAAAAACACAGGTAAAACGAAATATTCTAATTCGGAATAGCTTCACCCATTAATTTAATACTAAGAATTAGGGGTGTGTTTCGGACAGTCATCCCACCTCTACTCCTAACCAAAATATATAATACACCTACATCACTTTTCACAATAATTTTTTTTTTTACAATAATGAACATATATATAATTCAAATGAATGAATAATTTAAAATAATTAACCTCTTCAGGGCACTTTCGCCAAAAGATCTGCACGTTGGAATGACTGTTCAAGGCGATGCAGTGGCGAGACCGCTGCACGGCAGGGGCACCGTGACGCTGTCGCTGATGGATGACGCAACACTCCGGGGGTGACTCTGCTTTGATGATCTCGTGGCGAGTGGCCGGAGTGAAACTTCGCGAACGCAGAAATTCGATTTCGATCGTGACAAGTGTCCACAGTTTGGCAATTGCGTCCGCGCGAAATGTCGGAAAACCGAGCGTTCATAAAACGGAAATCCAAACACAGTGAAAAACAAGCGTGTGCTGCGTAAGTTTTATGCAGCCTAGTCCTCTACAGGGTATGTAATGGGCACGTTAATATTACCGTCAAATTGCATTGTACCGCATGTTAACAAGGTACATTGTACCCCAATTACTAGTGTTGGAAAATATCCATTCATATATATATCTGGGACGATGAGTCGATTTATCGACTAAAGATTGTAATTGGCTTACTTTTTTGTGGTCACTAACCCGAGTCTTTTTTAAAGAAATGGCCGGCCTGCCGAAGGCAGGAAACCCCCCCACAAGCCACGCCCAGTGCGACGCTGATGATGCTTGGAGACATCGCCGAGCCCCGCACACACTGTAAAAATTCAAAGTCGTTTGCTCGCAATAATCTTACAAAAGACAATGTGACAAAACGTACATGCTCAGAGGAATGTCTCAGTGTACATGTCCATACTGCACACACTTGAAGTTACAATCTTTTTTTTTTTGGGGGGGGGGGGGGGGGATAGCAGGACATCGTGTCACTATTTAAAAAGGGTGTTGCCAATTTCACTCCGAGCTCTCCGATATGGTATCAGGAATTGCCGCTTCTTGGTCAACGTTCTGCTCCCAGCACGTCGGACATCGTGCTCAACACGGCACGATACAAACACAATACACATCGGAGAGCTGTGCAGCACAACCGCGAAAACCTACACAGTAGAATTTCACCATATTTACACTGTCGCTAAGCTAGGCACTCGACCACTAAAAACACATACGTATTTCTCCAGTCAATTCCATCAAGCCACACGATAACGTCATAATAATGTTGCCTGTGGCTAAATATAGATTTTTTTTTACATTCCAGAAACAGAGGTGACTGATGGTGCCAACTGCTTCACTGTAGATACATCATATCACAGGTAGCGGTAGTATAACAGCCATATTGTACCAAGAATACGGAAACAACCATTTGTTGAAGACGGCAACACTGTGATACCTTTTTTTGCCATTTCCTCGTAAAACAAAGCGACAGCTAAAAGCCTAAAAGCCATGGCAACACTCTTCGCGTCTTCTGCCACGGAGAAAAAAATAAAAAAACAAACGCCTGGTTCACACACACACACGCGCGCGCACGCACGCGCACGCACGCACGCACACACAAAAAAAAACTTTTAACGACGCGATTTGGTTTTTTTTGCATAACACTGTCACAACCGCTCCGGCAGAGACCCGGCGGCGCTTTGAGAGGGCAACGCGAGCGGAACACACGCCGCGAATTGGACGTCGCGAGGGTGTGTGTGACGGAAACGGCGCCCACGTCCGCGCAGCGCCCGTTGTGCTTCTCTCTCTCTCTCTCTGTGTGTGTGCGACGCGAAGGACGAACGAGCGGCCCCCTGCGGTCGAGCGCACACCGGGGACGAGCGGCCAGGGGAGGCAGAGCCTCACCCGTCACGCTCCAATGAAAATAGACGTTGCTAAAAAAAAAAAAAACAGGATAATCAAATAAAAGAAATATTAAGATTTTTTTTCCACCGATCTGTATTATAAATGTCATTTCTGCACGATCCCAATCATTTTTAGAGTCAAAATCGCCAAATTCGCGGAGCTCCGCTGCAAATACTGTAAGAGACGAGAGGTGAGGCAGCGACGCGCTCAGCCTCCCCTCTGATTGCGCAACCCCTCAGTAACTGGATGGAGCGCGGGCAATAAGCGCGTGCCTGTTACTATCTCAGTGTGTCACCAATGTCATGTTTGTAGACCCCTTCATTTCATGTCCTCGCCTTCCGTACTCCAGGTAACTTATTTCACGTACGTGTATAAAGATATTTAGGCTCGCCGGTCTCGTCATGAAACTGCAAGGAAAAAGCACCAGGGGAGGCAGCTATCACATCTGCCTCGGTGAGGACACGCCCCCTCAGTGAGGCCACGCCTCCTCCGTGAGGGCACGCCCCCCTCTGTGAGGCCACGCCCCCCTCAGTGAGTGAATCTGGCTCCGACACTAGCCTGTGCCTCCCCAGCCACTGCCCTCACCGCACGTCACTGGTGCACCCCCCCCGCCCCCCCGAACGCGGTGACTTTACGCAACGGGCAAAAGCTTTGCTGCCTTCGCCCCCGCGTTTTGTTTTGCTTCTTTCCTACCGCAAGCACTTGTGCTGGGCCCGCGTTAAACACGAACCAAATAAATCGTGCTTCTGTTGCCATTGTTTGTGTGGGGGGGGGGGGGGTGGGGGGGGGTGCTGGGGGAGAGGGGGTGGGGGAAGACAGACTCCATCCGTACGCCGCTAATAAAGCATTGCATTACACAAGCAAGCAATGAGAACGATCGCGACTGATCGGGCGCGGGGGGCAGAAACTTCTTCGAGCAACGCGACGCGCACTTTACAAAAGCAGCGACGAAGGCCGGGGAACGAAATGAAGAGTAGGAAAGAGTGTTTGGTAGCGCTCTTCGCAATCCTTTCTTCCTCCAGAGCAATACACCAGAGTCCTTTTTTATTTGGGTGGGGGGGGGGGGGGGAGATTCAAATCTGTAAATAAAAGGAAATGGGGATTTTTTTTTTACACGTAGGCTAGCAAAGGTCGTTTGGCAAACGTTACACGACAGCGTTCGATCAGCAACGAATCAGTCCATTAACGACATTATTTGAAAAATAAATCCTTTTTTTCATGTTATTTACAGCCCTTTGTCATTTCACCGCTGGATGAAGGCGTCACCATGCTGTGTTGAGCATTGTGTTTGTTAGACCATGCTTCACCACACTGGTCAGTGCAGGCTGGAAAGGGGGTCCCCAGAAACGGTTCAGATATCGCTCAGCATTGACGTTGGCCTTGCCCGGGAATCAAACTTCACTTGATGTCAGGACCGGCTGCTAGCAATACGAATCTCACGGCAAATAGGACTGTGATCAAGCAAAGCGTCGATTCGTAGATTACGATCACGTCTCAAGTTCGTGTGTTGGATCACACGCGTAAGTTACTTCATTCCACTACGCTCACCACATTGTGAAACATTCATCAAATGTTCGGTCAAACCACCACCCTCATTTGCAAGCCTCTGTGATGTCATCTCGCCACGTCACACGTCCGTGCGCCATGTGACGTCACGTCGCGTTTTGTGACTCGAAGCCGACGTTGTTGTCGCCGATGAAAACTGCGCTTCCGAGAACAAACACACTGCAAGGCATTAGAGAATCGGAGCTTGCGCGTTCTAGTTCCCTCCTCACTTTTATCCAGATGAGGTGCCTTCAGATTTGCTGTAAATGCACATGGATGACGTCTATTGTGAAACGAGCACATTAAAAGGCCCTGAATTACAGTGCTGCGCTACTTATTGTCTGTCGTCACCATCCTGGACTATTTTTTTTAAGAACATGTTGCTCATTACTGCCCGATGTTATTTCTGATCATTTAAAATAGATGGCTGCCGTGTCACTTTCGCATTAATTCTTTATCGCCTCATCTGAAATCGACCGTCTTTCAATAATTAAAATAGGCAATTAAAAAAAACCTCCTTGGGCCAATCGTTGAAATAATAGTAGAAAATAAATAAATAACTAGGCAAATATTTTTATTAGCTAAAAAATGTGCACATCGGAAGTAAAGACGTAGTTTTCAAAATTAACTGCTAATTATCTTTTTTTACATTACAAATGAATAACAAGACCTTTGCCACGCCGCTTAAATTGCCTCCATTAATATTTATGCTAAGGAACGGATGACATATGATTAAAGAAAATACGCAGGTTAAATACGTAATTTCAAACCATGCAAAAAGTAAGCGGGTTTGGGCAGGACACGTCGCTGGAGAGGATGACAGCCGTAGGTCAAGAATAGTCGAATTAGAAGTTTGTTTCCCGAGTGAGCACATTGAGCTAAGACGCTTTTTTTCAATGGCAACTCATCTTGCCTCTAGGAATGAATTGATGAATGAACACAAGGCCTATTATCTCCTCCTCCCTCCCTGCTCCTGATCCTATTCCCCATCCTCTCCCTAACTCCTCTTACCCCTCCCTCCCTCCTTCTCCCCCCTCCTTATCCCTCCCCTTCACAGAGTTACAGCCAAGGAATAGAACACGTCTGAGAGAAATATCAACTGAGGAGATGGTTGCTGGGCGAATTATTACATTGCCGGAGCGTGGCGGCAGCTTGGGAGATTATCTTCATCCAGCAGTGGATTGGCCATGGCCGATGATGATGATTATGATGATTGCATACAGTTAAACAAATATTCGTTAAGTGTGAGTAACTTAAGAAATGTGGAAATGTAATAATTATCTACACCACTCATGTCACAAATCAGACCAGTTGACATACACAAACAGCATTCACAACCGTGAAATCACAGAATCCCCGTTCAATCTTTTCAGGGCACAGGAGCAAGTGCTGTTAGTAAGCACCTATGATAGAGGTTTTTTTTTGGGTTAGGTCGTGTAAAAATATAAATGTGTCGTTAAACCCGCCACCACCCGACACAGCCAACTAGTAAGGGTTGTCAGGTAAACAGAACGTGGCCAATTCGTCACTAGCACAGCACACCGGTGTGTTGGAGAGCCAAGCCACAACATTGACAATCTTGAGACGACATTTCGCCTGTAATTGTCAGTCTGTCGCCTGATGAAGCTGGTGGTAATTACTTACTAGTTGGCTGTGTCGGTGGTGGCGGCTTTAACGTCACATTTATATATTTACACAATCTAACCCAAAACACCTACATTATAGATGATATTGGTCGCGAAAGCCTACGTGTTAAACTAGTAAGCACAAATCAAAGGTAGTACAGTGCACGAGGGGGCAGGTGGCAAGCACCATGCCTGGTCACCTTTGTATCCATCCCCAGTACTGATTTTTATACACCACACCAAATACTAATTTCATGCTGAGTCGACCTAGGGGAGGCTCAAGACTGGCTCAGATATATGTTTGCTGCGAGTGGGAATCGAACTCGGGTGCTGCCATGTTCGTAGCACGGTGTCCTAACGGGTATTGTCGTGGTTCACAAACTGCTCTACGAACCCGACGACCCGAGTTCGATTCCCTGTTCGGGGTCAACACGAGTTCCGATTAATTATCTGAACCGGTCCTGGGCCTCAAATGAGTACCTGGTGCGGTGTGTAAACGTTGCCACTGGGAAGACAAAGGCGGCCGGGCGTGGTATTGGCCATCCACCCCGTCGCGTGCCGAGCCGGCCTTCGTAGGCGCGACTCGCTAACAGAGGGGAGGATCTTCGTCTTGTCTTTCTGCAAAGACACCCCACCTGGCAGAACAAACGATCCGGCCGCATCAGAAGAGGCCGCAGTCCTTGAGGTTGTTCTTGATGATGACGTCGGTGACGGCGTCGAAGACGAACTGCACGTTCTTGGTGTCGGTGGCGCAGGTGAAGTGTGAGTAGATCTCCTTGGTGTCCTTCCTCTTGTTCAGGTCCTCAAACTGACACTGGATGTACGCCGCCGCCTCCTCGTACGTGTTGGAGCCTTGTGGGGGGGGGGTTAGCCAGAGCGAAGGAGAGATAGACGGGGAGCGGGGGGGGTGGGGATCCAGCGATCATTGGCGTTAGGCTCGCCCACGCCACCCCGAGCCCCTCCGTGTGGGCGGCCCTAGTCAGGGGAGGCGGCTTCAAGATTTTAAACTAGATTCAAAGCTTTCGCGACTGCAGGAATTACTCTTTGGTACTTTCGGTAAAGTCACGGAGAAAGAAATTTAATTAAATAATAATAGAATACGACGTTTTGAATGCAACACAAGCAACAATCGTCAGGTGCAAATGAATGAGAAAACAAACAGCTTCTGTGTGCCTATGTGTGTGTCTCTCTCTGTCTCTGTGTGAGTCTCTCTCTGCTTGTGTGTCTGTCTGTGTGTCTCCGTGTCTATGTTTGGTCTCTCTCAAATTTAGCAATCTTTGGAAGAACGTAATCAACCAGGTGGGGTGTTGACTGTTATGTTAGCCGACTCTCTGTGTTATATTGCATTATATTTCCAAGTATACTAGGTTTGTTTTCTCATTGATGTGTACCTGATGATGGTTGCTTGTGTTGCAATCGAAACGCCGTATTCTATTATTATTTAATTTCTTTCTACATTACTTTACCGAGCGAACCAACGAGTGTCAAGTTTTTATTTCGTTTAGCCAGATCCGGAGCTCGAGAGACCAGGATGAGTCTCATTTGCGAGAGTGACCTGGCTCGCCAAAATGACGAAAAGAGAAACAATTTAACAAGTACGGCGATGAAGCTAATTAAGAAATCCGGACAAAAAAAAAACAACAACAACCATAGAATATTCCACGAACTTAAATCGATGTCAAGTCACAGTCACAGGAGGGTTATGTTTGCTCGCATAGGTGTGACGCCACAAGGGACAGACGTTCCATTCCTGCAGACACTTAGAACTTTCATCGGGATATTGTCATCATCATCATCACTGTCAGCCACGATCAATCCACTGCTGGATGAAGGCTACCCCAAGCCGTCGCCAGCTCTTGGAGTCCTGCGATTCGACAATCCACCTGACACTTGCCCACCGGCTGATTTCGGCGCTCTGTCTCATCAATAGGCGTCCTCCTCTCGGACCCGGCCCATCCATTGGCTGCTGTGCTGTCTTTATTCTTGACCGTTGGTCAATAATGTACAGTGAGGGAAAAAAGTATTTGATCCCCTGCTGATTTTGTACGTTTGCCCACTGACAAAGAAATGATCAGTCTATAATTTTAATGGTAGGTTTATTTGAACAGTGAGAGACAGAATAACAACAACAAAAATCCAGAAAAACGCATGTCAAAAATGTTATAAATAGATTTGCATTTTAATGAGGGAAATAAGTATTTGACCCCTCTGCAAAACATGACTTAGTACTTGGTGGCAAAACCCTTGTTGGCAATCACAGAGGTCAGACGTTTCTTGTAGTTGGCCACCAGGTTTGCACACATCTCAGGAGGGATTTTGTCCCACTCCTCTTTGCAGATCTTCTCCAAGTCATTAAGGTTTCGAGGCTGACGTTTGGCAACTCAAACCTTCAGCTCCCTCCACAGATTTTCTATGGGATTAAGGTCTGGAGACTGGCTAGGCCACTCCAGGACCTTAATGTGCTTCTTCTTGAGCCACTCCTTTGTTGCCTTGGCCGTGTGTTTTGGGTCATTGTCATGCTGGAATACCCATCCACGACCAATTTTCAATGCCCTGGCTGAGGGAAGGAGGTTCTCACCCAAGATTTGACGGTACATGGCCCCGTCCATCGTCCCTTTGATGCGGTGAAGTTGTCCTGTCCCCTTAGCAGAAAAACACCCCCAAAGCATAATGTTTCCACTTCCATGTTTGACGGTGGGGATGGTGTTCTTGGAGTCATAGGCAGCATTCCTCCTCCTCCAAACACCGTGAGTTGAGCTGATGCCAAAGAGCACCATTTTGGTCTCATATGACCACAAAACTTTCACCCAGTAGTCCTCTGAATCATTCAGATGTTCATTGGCAAACTTCAGACGGGCATGTATATGTGCTTTCTTGAGCAGGGGGACCTTGCGGGCGCTGCAGGATTTCAGTCCTTCACGGCGTAGTGTGTTACAAATTGTTTTCTTGGTGACTATGGTCCCAGCTGCCTTGAGATCATTTACAAGATCCTCCCGTGTAGTTCTGGGCTGATTCCTCACCGTTCTCATGATCATTGCAACTCCACGAGGTGAGATCTTGCATGGAGCCCCAGGTCAAGGGAGATTGACAGTTCTTTTGTGTTTCTTCCATTTGTGAATAATCGCACCAACTGTTGTCACCTTCTCACCAAGCTGCTTGGCAATGGTCTTTTAGCACATTCCAGCCTTGTGTAGGTCTACAATCTTGTCCCTGACATCTTTGGAGAGCTCTTTGGTCTTGGCCATGGTGGAGAGTTTGGAATCGGATTAATTGATTGCTTCTGTGGACAGGTGTCTTTTATACAGGTAACAAGCTGAGATTAGGAGTACTCCCATTAAGTGTGTGCTCCTAATCTCAGCTCGTTACCTGTATAAAATACACCTGGGAGCCATAAATCTTTCTGATTGAGAGGGGGTCAAATACTTATTTCCCTCATTAAAATGCAAATCAATTTATAACATTTTTGACATGCGTTTTTCTGGATTTTTGTTGTTGTTATTCTGTCTCTCACTGTTCAAATAAACCTACCATTAAAATTATAGACTAATCATTTCTTTGTCAGTGGGAAAACGTACAAAATCAGCAGGGGATCAAATACTTTTTTTCCGCCACTGTACGTATGTTGAACTTCTTTCGCACCATACATAGCCAAAAGTGTCCAGCCCAAGCCATCATTCACTCGATTCAGCCAGTGTTTGTAAGTGTCCAATGCCAAATAAAATAAATGTGTTAATTACCAGCAGCTAAAGTGTACAAAAACACAATCATTCCCAGATTTACATAAAATAAACGGTAGTGAATCCAAAAGAGCTCTCGCTGGGTTGAATGAAGGACAGTGAATTCAATAGCAGGCAATATGGCATGAAGGAAATGCTACTCAAAATTGTTCACATTTCTGAAGTTAATTAATTTGATGGAATGCTTAATGCTTCTGAGCTTAACATACATGTGTAGTGACACAGCTTTAGCGATGTAGCAGCATAGCGCTGGCTGCTGGCGGGGAAGGGGATCTGCAGCTTACAGCAGCCCTGACAGCATCAGGCCAGGTGATACACCAGAGAGGGATCTAGGGGAGAGGTCACGGAAGGGACACACCAGGAACCCGCGGGTAGGTTCTAGAAAGGAGGCGTGGCCGGGGGCGGAGCCAGGCTACGCTGACAGTAAGAGGGGCCCCGAGAGGGGACCTTGGGGCTGTCGTTTATAGTGGGATCCCCGTCGTGCTGCTGAAGTCTTCAGTGTCGTCTCCGTCTACACCATCTCGGCGTGGCCAGTCAGGCAGTCTACCGGCCGTCCTGACTGGGAACCGTAGTTGACTATAGACGGATTATTTGGAAGTGTTAACCCGTTGGTGCGTGTTAATAAACAGAGTGCCTCCAACTCTTAGTGCCTCCGATTCAGTCACTGCACATGCACAGAGGTATGGTACCATCTATTTGTAAAAAAATATATACAAATTACAGTGCTAATAGGCGGAGGGAGAGCGGTGATCCCAGTTATCTGAGCAATATTCCCGGTCAGTGGCGAGTGGCATCCTGCACTCGTCCTCCAGCAACCCACACTTACCAGTGTGCCGAAGAACAGTCAAGCAACCCACATGACTGGTACGGCACTAGGAGAGGCCTTCATCCAGAAGCGCATTGGGAAAGTTCCATGAATAATGACGTACTATCAACTGATACCCTGATAACAATGGAGCCGCTGGTAGTCTCGGCCTGCCAGATTTACCAATGTACTCGGCGAAGCAGATGGACAGGGGACTCTTGTTGATCTTCTCCTCGAAGAGGTCCTTCTTGTTGAGGAACAGGATGATGGACGTCTCCGTGAACCACTTGTTGTTGCAGATGCTGTCGAAGAGCTTCATGCTCTCGTGCATGCGGTTCTGCAAGGGGGAACAACGATGGGTACACGGACTCACTGCGGTGCGCCAAGCGTCGATACATCAGCCTAACGAGGTCCCTTGTCAGCACCAGCAGCAGCAGCAGCTGGTTCGATATGCAGCCTGCTCGTTTACATCTTGTCAGGTTAATGAAAGTTAAGTGCGCGCCAAATTGGGTTTTGGGTAAAACAAAATAGTATTCCCTAATGCGAGTGTTGCAGGTAATTTTATGCAGTTTTGCCGGCAGATTATCACTTCGCATATCATATCTTGCAAGGCGCCTTAGGCACAACGTTTAATTACACGCCATCTCTTGGTTAATTTATCAACCACAACTCGAACCTACAACACCCGGTTTTCCTGGCAGTCCGTCATCCGAGTAGTAGGAAGGATGGAATCCTGCGTAGCTTCCGAGACCCGAAGTCGGTAGTGACGCGAGCTCTCAACTCACCGTCTCCTCGTCCTCCGCCAGCACCAGGTCGTACGCGCTGAGCGCCACGCAGAAGATGATGGCCGTGACGCCCTCGAAGCAGTGGATCCACTTCTTCCGCTCCGACCTCTGCCCTCCCACGTCGAACATCCTGGGCAGAGCCATCCGTTCAGCTCACATCGCCGCCCAGACCCTTCCGCCAGCAATGGGCATGAGCGAGCAATTGCGGGGCTGCACCTTTTACCTTTTACGGGGCTCCTCTAGCAATTGGCACACAGCTATGATCGCGTGGTGTTCAGTGCTAAATACGCTCGAGAGGGCCTCCATGGTGCTTCCACGAGTGGAGACCCTTCCGCCAGCAATGGGAGCGAGCGAGCAATTGCAGGACTGCACCTTTTACCATTTGCAGGGCCTACCGTGGCGATGGGCCTGCGGCTATGACCTGGAGGCGCCGCTCACTTGAAGTGGAGGTCCTTGAAGGTGAAGTGAGTTTCCACGATGCCCGTGGTCTTCACGCGCGTGCGCAGCACGTCCTGCTGCGTGGGGATGTAGCTGAGGTTCGATATTCTCTCCAGGTCGTTCAGGTAGCTGCAAAAGCCGCACGAGCCAAACACACACGCGCGAGCGGGGGGGTTACAGCGGTAGCGGTGGCCGTCGTGCGACGCGACGACGGCCCGGTGGGCACCAGGAACTGGAGGGCGACGACGGGAGTCCACTTTAAAACATCGTTCGAGTATGGAAAATAAGAATAGGTGTTTTACCCTTTCTGACAATGAAACAACGAGGTGTTGAGATGTTCAAACACCAAGTAGAAGACCCTTGTTGCAACCGATTGGCCTACACCAGAGACAGCCTTCTTTATGTCATTGTTTCACCAGTGTCAGACCAGAGAACCCCAAAAGGCAAACAGTATAAAGACAATGCAGGTGTAGTGCATAATTAAGAGACAATATTTAGGAGGCAACAACGTTTATTCTACACTTTACGCAACGCCGTTACACCCGAGACTAAATACACCTATTCTCACTCTTGTTACACATAGGACCACAATACACTTATTTCTCTTGCATACGGGATAACTATAATCGGGTCAGCGCTGCCAACGTGCTGCCTGACCCACGATGTCGAAGACGGAGACGAAGACGTAGCACTTGGGTTGCCCTTCACCTGCAGACAGCCCGGATCTGTGATCGGGGCTTCCCTTTAATCTCTCTCGGCGCCGCCTGGCTCCACCCTGGGCCGCGCCCTACGTACAGAATATTCCCGACGGTTCCAGGCGACACCGCACCTGTTCCCTCTCTGGCTCCGCCCTTAACCACGCCCCTTTCGGGAACTCTCCAGACGTTTCTCAGCTACATACCGCGTGCCCCCTCGTTCACCTTTGGCCCACTTTACTCACCCAGCCCATCACGTGCTTAACCCGGTGCCGGGGTGACTCGTCCTCACATGGCCCCTACCACCAGCCGCCCCCCACCGCACTCTCCCAGTGGCCCCCTCTGTGGTGATTCCCTGCGGCGCTGGTGGAGGCTGCAATCCCCGACTCTGCCGCTAGGACTCTTCAGACTTCCTCCTGCGAGCACCCAGTACCATGCCCCTAGTGGCCCACTGAGTGGTACTGCATGGTGTGTGAGCCCCTAGTGGCCCACTGAGTGGTACTGCATGGTGCGTGAGCCCCTAGTGGCCCACTGAGTAGTACTGCACGGTGTGCTCGCCTCCGCGCCTGTTTCAACGGCACATGGCGCTACGAGCCGTCGTGATCCATTTAACATCACTACACAGGTATCAGAGCATTTACAGCTCGGGTTAAGCAGTTATATCTACGGGACCTTTTTTGGCAGTATTAAACTAAGAAAAATTATAATCATGTGGGTGTAAAGACCATACACGCTACGCGACTTCGCAAGATCCAAGTTAAACAATCTCGTGCCGGCGTCATGTTCCAAACCTGCCACGTAAAAAAAAATAACCCGCAAATTACTAATTTGGGAAACGTATAGCAACTATTGGCACCTATTGGAAAGTTATTGCAGACTGTTGTCTGCAAAGCATAGCCTCCTAGCGCTATAAGAATGGTGCAAATTCCAACTGTACGGCTCACTTGATCCGATAAGACGTTAAGTTGGGGCACGACTACAAATTGGCAAGGCGCCCTGCAACCAGTGCCTGTTTGTAGACAACAGAGCGCAGAGCCAGGGTACAAACTCTGAATGCTCCGGGTGCCTTTCCTCATCCGCCATCCCCCTGATACAGTTCAGATCGATAAATGTCTCATACTTTTTTTGAGGAATTAATAGTAAACTTTACGGTGCTCGGGCTCGTTAAGTCAAATAAAAACGCGCGGCGCCCCATATGGTGCAATGTGTAAATGGTTTACGTGACAAGAATTTAAACTTTGCCACCCCCATGTTGCGAAAGCTGCACGAACGGCAAGGGCTCCGCGTTACATGAAGATTTCGGGTTACTTTAAAATGTCACGCGCTATCATTGCTGCCCGGAGTCGATGTAAGAGCTCTCCTCCGATGCATCCTTGGGTTGCACCATGTGCTGTCATTTCGCGTGATGTGGCCAGATGTTAACTACCTCGCCTGCAATGCAGGAGGTCGTGGGTTCGATCCCAACCTTGACGCCTATCTATATTTGGAGTTTGCGTGTTGCATGGATTTTTCTCTAGGCTCTCCGGTTTTTCCCTCCAAATGTAGAAACTTGCGTTTCCAGTATTTGGCTGCTATAAATCTCCACGCGACAAGCCACTTCGTTGAGCTATCATTTGTGGCCAGGTCGCTTTTGAAAAAGAGCCATCTAGCGCAGTGGGCCTTACCTGGTAAAATAAAACATTTTCTTTGGTTCTTTCGGTAAAGTCACGTAGAATGAGAATAAAATAAATTGATAAAATAAAATAACACAATAAAATTCTCACGACGTTCGGCCACAACACAAGCGGCCTTCATCAGGTGAAGGGACGAGACTGTCTGGAGGACAGCGCTGGAGCGAACACAGCCAAGCTCAGACCGCGACCTTTAAGCTGTGTGAGAAGAAACAGAGCGCCTTGACAAAGGAATTAGCATAGAATTTAGCATTGTGCTAATTCCTTTGTCAAGGCGCTCTGTTTCTTCTCACACAGCTTAAAGGTCGCGGTCTAAGCTTGGCTGTGTTCGCTCCAGCGCTGTCCTCCAGACAGTCTCGTCCCTTCACCTGATGAAGTCCGCTTGTGTTGTGGCCGAAACGTCGTGAGAATTTTATTGTGTTGTTTTATTTTATCAATTAATGATTTTATTCTCATTCTACGTGGTGACTTTACCGAAAGAACGAAAGAAGATGAATCCTTGCAGTCACGCAAGCTTTAAATCGAAAAACAAGACATTGTTTTATCGTTTATAGTTTATGTTCCAAGCCGATGACACGTCAGAGAGCACGCTACACAACAACCCACGCGAAGGTGATTCGAGCCAAAGCAGTGGACATCACTGTGACCCTCCCCACTGAGTGTAAATTCTCCAATTACTTTCTCCGCGTGTTGTCTGTTGCATCTTTGAAACCCACGAGCGAGCCTGGCTGGTCACGACCGGAATGGTAACGCACAGCATTTGGTGAAATGTATGTGCGGGAGGACGGCAGGGAATTATTTTCCGGAGCTCAGCCCAGGACAGCCCCGGCTATAATCAAGCGCTAGTTTCAGCGCACTAACTTAAGTGAATTTCGAGGGCAGTTCGAACCACCGGAATGGTAACGCACGACCGGAATGGTAACGCACAGCATTTGGTGAAATGTATGTGAGGGAGGACGGCAGGGAATTATTTTCCGGAGCTCAGCCCAGGACAGCCCCGGCTATAATCAAGCGCTAGTTTCAGCGCACTAACTTAAGTGAATTTCGAGGGCAGTTTGAACCACCGGAATGGTAACGCAACGACCGGAATGGTAACGCACAGCACTTGGTGAAATGTATGTGAGGGAGGACGGCAGGGAATTATTTTCCGGAGCTCAGCCCAGGACAGCCCCGGCTATAATCAAGCGCTAGTTTCAGCGCACTAACTTAAGTGAATTTCGAGGGCAGTTCGAACCACCGGAATGGTAACGCACGACCGGAATGGTAACGCACAGCATTTGGTGAAATGTATGTGAGGGAGGACGGCAGGGAATTATTTTCCGGAGCTCAGCCCAGGACAGCCCCGGCTATAATCAAGCGCTAGTTTCAGCGCACTAACTTAAGTGAATTTCGAGGGCAGTTTGAACCACCGGAATGGTAACGCACGACCGGAATGGTAACGCACAGCACTTGGTGAAATGTATGTGAGGGAGGACGGCAGGGAATTATTTTCCGGAGCTCAGCCCAGGACAGCCCCGGCTATAATCAAGCGCTAGTTTCAGCGCACTAACTTAAGTGAATTTCGAGGGCAGTTTGAACCACCGCTGATGTAATACAGAGCACAAAATGTACGGTTTTACCTCATTCGCAATCGTTGGTGCTAATCGCCTTCGGGGTGAAATGGAAGTTATTTTTCTGCGAATTATTTTTTGTAAAAGATAAAATTTCAGTTTTGAACTGCGGCCAAATTATTGTGGTTTGATACAGTACATTGCTGAGTCAATTTGGTTGTTAAAATGACGAACAAACATGAATGGAATCAACTTAAATTAAAAACATCGATAAGCCGCGCCAAGAAAATCTTCATGCAACTGTTTTAATTATAATTAACAGCTCTTTTTTAATCAACTGCTGGGTGGTCTCCCCATGCCGAGTTAGTCATGGAGCTTAATTGAACCATACTTCACTGCACTAGCCATTGCAGCTTGAAGGGTGGAGGATGAAGACTAGTTTACATTTCGCTCGCCACTCGCCATGGCTGAGAATCGAACTGGGGGGTGGGGGGGGAGGGCTTTTTAGGGACAGTGCGCTGCTCCACCCTCAAAACACGTACGACAGCATCGCATTCCCTCCCCCAGAGGCCCAAAAACCAAACAAAAAAACCGTGAATAATTATTTGCCATGCAGTGATGTAATGAAGCCACAAGATGGCGGTGGTATTGCAATCCAGTATCACTCTCATCCACAGAACCGTCATAACGATGATTTCAACTCGCAATGGCGCTGCCACAGTCTTGGCTGGCACAGTCGAAGAAGGGAGAGGACAACCTACGAGGCACAGGCAAGCGGGAAGCCGGCAGCCGGTCAGTGAGCCAGCACCAACGATTGCCCAAGCTCCTCTGTGTATCAAGGTGTTATTGGCCAATTAATGAATGCTTACGTGTGAGAGGAGACCAGAGCACCCAGAGAAATCTAACGCGTGCGAGGGGGCAACACTCTATCCCGTACAGATGGAACAGGTGGAGTGCACAATTTTCTGTACCGCCTTCACTTGGCGAACCAGGTTATGGCACCTCGACGCCTACGGGAAGGGCGTTTTGCAACATTTGTGCGGTGATCCACCAACGCTCGCTGTCTGCAGAGTGCTGGATTACAGGCCACGTGCATAGCTACCATCCCACACAATTGACAAAAGCCAGTGGTGGTGCTGGCCCATTGGAGGCCCTGAGCAGGAATCATTCGGGGCGGGGGGGACCCCGCTTACCTTATAAAATCCTCGTGAGGTGACAGAAGAGATATGGACAAGAGCTAGAGATGTAGTGAGATGAATGAAAGAGCAAAAATATATAAATGGAGTTAGATGTGGGAAGAAGTATGAGAAGGTATATTCCATTTACGTCAATTTCGGTGGTCATGTTTATTTGAATTTGAGCCGATAATTGACGCACCATTTTCCTCACGATTCCAGGGCCCCCTTGAGGCCCCTGGAGCCCTGCACTTTTGCTTTCTTTGCTTACGCCTGGCGTTGCCGCTGCCAAAAGCGTAAATCTAATTCACGCCAGAGCCTTTGAAAACCTCATTATTTTGCGACAGCGCACCTCGAATGAACCCGTAATGAAAATCTCTTTTTTTTTTGTGGCTTGAATAAGAAGTTATGAGCAATTAATTTCGCGGTTGCACAACATCGAGACGGGTTTTGAGTCTGACGCATATAAAATGGCATTTCACCGCAGGGGTTGCTGACCGCGTTGTGTCATTGTGTGGAAAAACCCGAGATCAAACCTGCCAAAGTAACTTGCGTCAGAACGACCCGACGTTATTATGGCGGTCCTATCTGGCGGGGGCGGGGGGGGGGGGATAAACAACGTGGATGTTGCCCACAATGGTGGAACGGTCATTGCACCGCTGGACTAGCAATCCTGAGATCGCCGGGTTGGACCCCATCTCCCTGGCGCGGCAGTTGTAACGACGGTGCAGGCTCCTTGAATCTCCCCGTAACCCCCCCTCACTGCCGCCACTGTCCGCCCAGCGGTTTACGTGGGTTCGCCGCAGTCTCCCACGTGTGGTGGAGGTTGCGTATGGGGTCGTCCATAAATGACGTCACGAGATTTTGGACGATTTTTGACCCCCCCCCCCCCTTCGTCACACGACGTCACAAAAAGTCAGACCCCCCCCCCTCAAATATGACGACACAAAACTCTGCCCCCCCCCCCAAAAAAAAACATGCTTTGAATCGCTTTAAACTATTGTCATTGTAGTGCGTATTTAATGTGGCGCTGCACTCTGATGTTGTAGGAGAAAACATTTCTTAAAAAGTATATTTAATTAAATAGAAGTGTTGTCTATATTTATTTAAAGTTGCGCATTTTGATGTGACGTCACATTTCTCAACCCCCCCCCCCCCTCGTCACACATCGTCACAAATGTCTGACCCCCCCCCGCCCCCCCAGGTGCGTGACGTCATTTATGGACGGCCCCTATGGTTGTTCCTGCCTCCTGCAAGACGTCTGGCCAGCGTGGAGGAGTAGGCCAATGTGTACCCTCTTTGTAGAAGGGCTGCTCTCGAGCTCACTCTAGTGGAGGCCCGTTCTGCCAGCAGTGGCGTTGAGTGAGCAATTGCAGGGCTGCGCCTTTTACCTTTCACGTGATGAATCCGTTATCACTTTATTATTTATTGGGAGAATGAGGTCTTGCGGTTCGTTCAAAATACCGTGTTGTTTCCACCCGCTATTGTGTCCATGCTGAGGAATCATTTGTGCTATCGAGCGAAAACACCCGCTGTTAAAAATAATAATCGTAATTGTTGCCTCGTACGTCTCCGGCAGAGCCTCGTGATGTTTCCATTGTGGATGTTTAGATAACGCTGTACTGGACGGAAAGCAGCAACTTTAACCTCCAAAACAAACGGTCATTCATCATCTATCTCAGGGGTCGGCAACCTATGGCTCGTGAGCCAGATGTGGCTCTTTTGATGACTGCATCTGGCTCGCAAATAAATCTTAGCTGACATTTCTTTAGTTGTATTCAGTGTTAAAAAAATATTATATGGCTCTCACGGAAATTTATTTTAAAATATGTGGCTTTCATGGCTCTCTCAGCCAAAAAGGTTCCCGACCCCTGATCTATCTGCTGCATCTTCACGGTCTCACGATGCCGCGATCAATCCTCCCTCGTTATGCGCGAGCTGATTTAATCGCTCCATCTCCGCAATGTCGTGCCGTTCCAGTCTCGTCCTTCGACCTTCATACCCTTCTCGCGACGAGTCCTGCCCAAGCTGTCACGCGCAAACTTCGGTCGCCCTCGCACAAGCGGCTTTTGGCTAAGCAATCGAACATCGTGCCCTTTCAGATGCGCCTCTGCGGCCGTCTGGAATGCCCTTCCTTTATAAGGAAGCCACTGGGAGCTATGCATTTTTAAATAATCTACATAAAAAAATTAATTTCTTTCGAACTGCTTTTTGTGTTTCGTTTGATGTCCTTCCCCCACAGTTGGCTACGAACGCATACATCGCTGACGTGTGTTTTGTTGCTAGGTCCAAGTGTTCCTCCTCCTGCATCTCAGAATGTGCCACCTCTCCATGAGACTTTGCACGCTTTTTACGCTTATCAGATTTTGTTATTTTTTTCTTGCTCGGTGTGTCCATGTTTCTCCCCCCCCCCCCCCACGACCACCACCCCCCGTACATCATTTAGCTGGCTGTATGCGCAGATTGAAAACTCCCTCGTCTTGAGGCACGTCTGAATACTCTTCTTCTTCCATCGTCGTCAAATTCACGGGCAGAATTGAACCACTTTTAGAACGGGGGGGAAAAAAAGAAACAGTCCAATACGAAGTAGAACGAAGGAAGGTTCTCTGGACACTGCTGGTTATGAGCGTCGTTTGACCGTGCTTTCCGGTGCTGGTCAGTGCGGGTTGGTGTGAGGATAGAAAGGGGGCAAGGCCAGTTTACACACCACTCCTCACTGAGAATAACAATCGGCGGTAGCGTACAGTACATCCAAATAGCTGTTGTACCTCCTGAGCATCGTTCATTCAGTGTGAGATTAACGTATTTCACTGGCGTGAGAATCGGTCCTGTTTTACATAGCGAACATTGCATTGGTGTCAAGCCTGCTGCTGCTACTAAGCAACACAAACACAACACCCCTCCCCCACACCACCGCCTTCCATCCCCCCCCCATGCCCCACCACACTCCGGTCTCGCACCACCCGCTGACCACTCGTACGCAACACTGCCCCATCTCCAACCCATAGAAAATGACTGCTACACCCACGCGCAGAGCCTCATTCGGATGTCTCGCGAGGCCAGCGGATTGCGGGTTTGTTTCTGGCTCAGCGGGAGAGCCAGTGGGGGAGAAAAAATAAAGGAAAAATAAACAACCCGTACCGTGAGGTGCCCCTGCGTTGTTCACATGGAGTGGACGTGCCAGCAGGAAAAGGGGCATTTGGATGGGTGCCACTGCCGTCGATGGTCACTCACTAGGCGGCCGAGTCGTTGAGCTGGTACTCGCGTGAGCGGCGGAAGCAGGCCTGCACGCCGCTGTCGGACCACAGCCGCTTGATGACCTCCGAGAGGTCGGGGGTCATGACGCCCTCCTCGGCCACTCCGGCCAGCACGAACAGTTGCCGCGCGTCCTCCTGCACACCAGCGTTCATTCCATTCCGTGAGATCTCAGGCAGGAGGCGTTTTATTATCGTATTTTTATTTTATTTTACTCAATTATTATGAGCGGATGAAAATCTGTAGGTGTGACGATCACTTCAGACTGCCCACCAAACTCTGAGGGCACGGCTGCAGTATGAACGGACAAAATTAATGAGTCTGAATAATTACGCTGATGACGATAAATTACCTTTGAATAGAGACTACTGCAGTGAACTGACGAATTCCAAGAATGGGAATTTGCTATATACGTTTATTAATTATTCATCATGTTCACTGACTAGCTAACCTGATAATTACGGACCATACTAAGGTAACGAGTACGTAAAAACCACAGACTCAGACGTGACAAAAATTCCACAGGTTGTTGACAACAACTCGACAAGGACTATAAGACACAATGCTGACTAAATGAACACTGCCGTGTGCATGCACACACGCAAAAGAGTCAGAGGTGCCAAGTCGGCGGTGGAAATTCCACAATCCCACGAAGTTTTAATGCGTTTTAGCCACCCAGAGACATGATAGGCGGAGATGAACCTCCACCTGAATTTGAACTTGGGACTCTCATACCGAGTGACCGCTGCTGATATCCCTGACAGCAGCGAGTCAAGGGACTTTTTTTCCCACAGCGCCGGCCAGCCGGATGTTTGGCCAAAAAGTGCGTGACGGAAACGAAATTAACCGGCTGCAGCTCCAGCAAATTCACGTTCCGATGAATTAGTCGTCCTTCAATTTTGCAGCGACGTGACAGCGTAAAGCATTTTACACCGCTGCGCGGCGGAAGCCCTGGTTTGCTTCGCAATCATGGGCGCAATATGTACCGTATTACCGATTTAGCCGACAGGTCAACGACACTGCCTTTACCAGCTGACATCATTACGCGAGTGGCATTGCACCGAGATACCCGCATCTCCACTCTTTGCCCTGGCCAGCCTAAATCCTCGCAGCTACCCAGCTGTGCCGGGGGACCCGATGGCTCCCCGCTGTGTGTGGCACACGCGAGGGTGCCAAACGGGAGGCAGAGGCTCGAAGCCGCAGCCCTGCAAGCTGCTTGCTCGCGTCACTGCCGGTGGATTGGGCCTGCGCTTGGAAGGAGTTGCCCCTCTTCGGGGTGTTTGCCCTTGCAGACTGCGCAGAAGTATTTGGAAGAGGCCGAGTACCCACATTTTACACCCACCGCACTCTGCCCGACCGGCCCGATTGACTAACTGCGGTGTATTTGTACCGCTGGTGGACAGAAGCGAGGGGAATTTAAAGCAACTTACTCCACTGCTTCCACTGCCGTCGTGCTAGGAGAGTGAATGGAACTGGTGACCTCTGGATCGCAAGTCCAGTTTCTATCCGTTACACCGCGGCAGCATGGGCAGAGTTGGCCCTTTATAGGGCAAATTATATTTATTTGATTATACCGAATTGGCGGTGGTGCACAACCACAAATAACAACAAACTCAAAACCTTTGCCAATAATACTCACTGCCATTAACGGAAAAAATATTGATTTGTGTTTTTTTTTCCTTTAACAAGCAGCTTCTTTGCACGTATGCTGAATTTCTTTCGCAACGTACGTAGGCAACCGTGCTAATCGAAGGTGTGGGGGGGGGGGGGGGGAGCGACAACAAACTAAACACAAAAATTAGTTCCAAAGGAATGAGTTTTCAATCTAGATTTTAAAGTGCATAGCTCTGGTGGCGTCCTTTTCTTTCACAGCCTCAAATGGCCTTGGCTGCACCCATTCGTGCGGAGTACTGCTCGACCAAGGTGGTCACACTTTGCGAGGATGCTTGAGATTAGGATGCACGTGGAGGAGAAAAAACACATGAAGCGAGAATTTTGTTTTAAAAATAATGGAAATCCGGAGAATGTGGGGGAAATGCTGTGCACGGCTCAAGGGGAGGATGAAGACGATGATCCGTCTGGACATCCAATATCGAATATCGGACAGGATGGAATCCGTCTCGGTTGAAAGAGGCAACAACGCATGTAGAGAAGTGTTGTGGACCGCTGCAAGGGGATATCGGTGAAAAGGAACAACCGTGTCATGCCCCAGTGGCTCAAAAGCCTAAGGGACGGCAAGAAGAATGATGCTGGGTTTATCCAGACGGAGGAAGGTGGCAACGTTTTCCAGACAAGTTGTGCGAGGCTCGCGGGGAGCTCGACTGTTGCGCCCGCTCGCGCTTGGAGAGCAAGGGGGAGACAAGGGCGGACGCTGTGACCGTGCGCGACCTCGAGGCGTGGACCCAGCCCAGCACCAGGGAACGACGATCACAGGGGCCTGTAGCCATGGGCAAGTGCTGCCATATGCCGACCTCTGAACCTAGAGGTCACGCCGATGGATGGAAGAACTTCTTTGGCACCATGGGCAGCATTGTACCGAGGCTCTAGCTACTGTCTTTGGCAGGTAAGGGTTGGTGGATCACGCAGAGTTTTTTTTTTTTTTACTCCCAAGCACCGCTTCTCTGTGAGTTGACAGATGCCAGCAAATCGTTTCATGAGCCCATACGTGTTGAGTGATATCCATTTATATTTGTGGGATCGTGCTCTTGTAATGACATCTATTGGTTTGATTGTCACATGAGAAATGCCTCTCTATATGTGCTGCCTATGATCGAATTTATTTCATGCACCTACTGTTTCATCCGAACTACGAAGACAAGCAGGGACAGATCGCACACTGTCTGGGCATACCAGGTGTCAGGGGCTTTGGTTGGGAGGAGACTAAGGAGATGGCAGTACTGGACATTTGCGAAAAAGAGCTTAACAGCCCATCGGATTCCTCCAGTACAAATACATATTCGGATTCTGTTCTGATTCTCATTCAGTACGGCAATGGTTTAAATGTATGTATGTTGAACTTCTTTGGCACCATACATAGTCAACCGTGCTGATCGGCAGTGCGGGAGGACAACAAACTAAACACAAAAAGGCAGTTTTGAAAAAAATCTGACTTTTCCAGAGATTTGAGTGCGATCTGTTCCCATGGGTTCTCCTCCAGGTTCTCTGGTTAATAATAATCGGCCATCAGGTCACGGCGGTTTCTCATCCTTGCTTCAGGAATGCAATAGTGAAGAGGGAAATGAAGGTGCGGACGCCGTCGGGAAATAATGAAAGAATCAAATGAACAACATCCATCATTACCTATCCTCGCCCGCTGTTATGCACGTTCAGACGCGATGATTCGCGGTAGCGAAAGTAATGCCGCTGTTGAACGTGAAAGTTGTCACACCTAATTGCTCTGCGCGTGCAATTTAAGTCACATAAAGTCATTTATTGCCGTTGGAAACGCACGGGTAAAATGTGTTTAAAAAAAAAAACCATTACTATAAAACCGCACGAATCTGTGCGATTTGCATCTCATTACTTAACCGTCACAAACAGTCATAACACAACCATGGAATCAGACTATTTGGCAATTTCGCTATGCCGCGGATAATTTTTTAAGGATAAACGTTTCGTTTTTAATGGGCGGCGCATTACGCCGAGCGCGGGATGGAATTTGCAGTGACAAGGTGAGTTGGGCGCTTTGCACAGGGCCGAAACGTCACTGCTTGTTGAAGCTAAGCACACGGTATTGTCGCTGAGGTAGCTGCACCTTACACCGAGCAACGAGAGCCCATTTCCAAGGGCGAAGACGGCTCCTGTCAAAACGACGCTTTGAAAATCGGACCTAGACATTGAAATTTTGGATGATCTGAAACACTAAACTTGCTTTTGGGATCGTCCGAAAACGTGACTTCACAGCAATCAGAATGTGAATATGTATTTATACTGCAGGAGGAATCGGACGAGCTATAGATCTCTTTTTTCACATATGTCCAGTAGTTCACGGATGTCCAGTCGTTATTCGCTGAGCCATTCTCCACACAAGGCATTGCACTCGTGCCGGAATTTTTCCCCATGGATATTTACGGGTTGCAAATCACCGGGAGGCAGCACGTGGTTAGAAGTAACCACGTAGATACTGGATGTGGTGTGCGGGGGTGTGATGCCCTGGTTACATTTCTCTATGAGAGGTCCGAGAATGGATGCTTTCTGCATCTCATAAGGTGATGCCGACACGGACAATCTTGATAACAAAAAAGGGTCGAGGTGCCGCTCAGGAATGTATTGTTCATGCCGCTCTTTGCATGAGGGCCTCTATTTCAGAGAGTTCTCGAGAGCACCACCTAAAAGGTATTTTTGGCCTGCTCTTCCACGTCGACAAGACCCCCAATTCACCCACCCCACGTGAACTGCCAATCAACTGCCGTGTACTCCCTCGTACTGCTGGGCGAACAGAGGCAGAGGATTTATTAATAAACTTGCACCATTGTTTTAGCTGCCACAACAGGGGTATAGAATCGCCCCCGGCAATTTCTTTATCACAAGTCCGGTGTGCTATCCATCGCACCACTATGCATCCCAACTGGGATAAAATCGTGGACACAATGACAACTTTCCCATATTCATACACGTCATATATATGTTTGTTAAACGGCGGGAGGCCACGGGACATAAAGCACGGGCGGTTACTTGCCGCTCTGGAAACGTCTCCGAAGTCGATCTTGAGCTTCCCCATCGCTCGGATGATGGCGATGATGGACTGAATGGCGTTGCTGAACACGACCGCCGTGTACTGCTTGCACTCGTCCTCCGAGTAGCCGTCCTCGTGGATGATCCTGCGAGGAGGCGACAAGTCAGGAAATCGTCTCTCGCCGGGAGCGTCCGGGCCAGGCAGCGCAGCGGCAAAATTGCGCTGGGGAATCGAGTCAGCCGCTCCTCGTGACAGTGGAAGGGGGCGCAGAACCCACGTGGAAAAAACGTCCACAGAGCCCACGTGGCAACGGGCGTGGGGTGCTCCGCTGCCACCACGGTGGTGGCGGCGGCTCTTTGTGCCAATGCAGACGCGTTCAGCCGGCCCCGTCTGTGTGCCTACACTACGATCGTTTGCACAAAGCAGGCCCAGGTGAATGGCTACGAGGGTTTATTCATACAAAAAAACTTTTGTAACTCTGGTAACCTTAAAACCTGCACTACTCTGCAAAGAATGTCTACGGAGCACGCGAGCGCGTGGTGACCCCTACGCCTACGCCAAGTCACAAGCGCCCTAATCCTCGCGTTTGTTGCGCACTTTAACAACGCACACAAACACAGAAGCCACGCGTGAGACATGGCCTGTAAGCCGCCAGTGTTGTGCTACGGTGGCAAGATGATTACTAGCTCGCCTGGTATAGAGGAGGCCGTGGGTTCGATCCTGACCCTGGCGCCTGAAAATTTGTAGTTTGCATGTCTTTCTCTCCATGGTCACGATGGCTTTTCTCCAGGTCCTCCGGTGTATCCCTCCACATTAAGAATCATGCGTGTAGAGTATTTGGCTGCTGTAAATGTCCACGTGATAAACTACTTCGTTGAGCTATCATTTGTGGCCAGGTCACAAATGATAGCAGTGGGGGCCTTGCCTGGTAAAAAAAAAGAATTTAAATCGTTGTTTAGGTTTGGTTCACATAGGAAAACCGCATCATAATCTTCTGCTGCCCAGCAACACTTTTAAACGTCAAGAACACAGGTAAACCACGGTCATCCGCGTCCCTTCAACGAAGGAGGAATAGCAAAAACCACACCAACTTGTTCTCCTTGAAGCCCTCGACACCTCAATATTGGCATTGAGCTCCTGGGCACATTGACCATCACACGCAAGACTGGAATGTCAAGAGGATGACGTGTAATAAAAAAAAAACACAATTACACTTATAACTGGTGAATGGTGGCGCAACGGTTAGCGTGCTGTGCTTAAGTACACAGGAGACCCGAGTTTGATTCCCGACCATGGCTAATATCGGTGATATCCCAATTAGTCTTGGGGCACTTCATACACCAACCCGCATTGACTGGCGTGGTGGAGTATGGTCAAGCAAGCCCCCCCTTATGACTGACATGGAGTCAGGAGTCTTCCATCCAGCAAGCTTTGTTACGTGGAAAATGATACAATCATTGCACAAGGAACTACAATGAAATATGTATTATCTTCTTTACCAATTCTTCATAAAGAATTCTAATTATATATGTGTCGTCGTTATCCTTTCTTATGCAGCATAATGTGGAGAGGATTACGATTATAAGTTGCGTGTATGCTGGCACTTACTTCATCTGCTTGACTATGGTGCTCTTCCCCGATTCGCCAGCCCCTGCAAAGACAAAAGCACTTGTTGAATGGCTTTGCAAAGATAGCACCCGCAACCCTGGGGATTTACGCAGAGAATGCACAAGAATTGACGAGGATGGTTTCAAGTCATGAAATAATTCTCACGAAGATTTGCATACAGCAGATACATAGACGGCATAGAAATTTTTGCAATGTTTCGCCTTAAGCGTAATGTGATTTGTTTACACTGGAAAGCCTTGCTGGATCTTAAGACTTTTTTTCAGGAGAGTCATGCCACATTGGGGATGTCTGGCCATGAATTTCAAATTAATGAGAGTCTGGCTTCTTGTGGGAGGAAACTGAACAACCCCGACCCCCCCCCCGCCGAGGGTTGGTGGGATCGCACGAATTTGCGAAACTCCCAAACCCATGGGGTTGTGATGGAAGTACAGAAAGCCGATTGCATCCATCTGTGCGGATATTTTTTGCCACGTGTCATCCCCGCTCCCTCTATACACGCGTCAGCATGAAGGAAGGGGCAACGTGGCTCGGTCAGGGCTCGTGCCGAGTGGCATTCCATCAGCGGTGCGTAACAGCTCCTCATGGGTCCTGCTGGTTCACATTCAGCACGACAAAACAACATCTCCCTTTCTCTTTTTTTTTTAAAATGTTTTCATCGCGTTGTTAACTGAGCCTACGTTCCACGTCGTGACATTTCAAATATCACCCTTTACAGGGTACACAACTCTGTTGCCTTCTCGGGATTCAATTATTCACCATCCAACCAACTGCAAAGTAACATTTTATAGCGCATGACGTTGTGCAATATCGGCTTGTGCCACAGTTCGGCGTTCATTCCACTTCCCGAACTTTTATTTTTTCTGACGAGGCATTGGTTGATCGGCGGGCAGGCTCGTTGCATAAGCTAGGAATAAAATGTGACTCGCCCGGAGGATAAATACGTTCATTACCTTGCAAGGACACTCTGTTCTTAGACACTGCAGGTGCGCGTTTACATTTGTACCAAGCTGTTGCATCCATTAAGTTGTTTTCTATTTTCGTCTCCAATTTGTTAAGCATTTGGATAATTTTCCATCCACCGCATTGTATTACACGGAAGGTCAACTGTTGAGTCGGAAACCTCCCAATAGAAAGTTTCTGTTTTTGTAAAAACAAATAATTTCTCCGAAAAGCCATCGGGCTATGCCAAGTTATTCATAGTTCTCACCACTGGCATCATGCGGACATTAAGGGAGAGCACATTACAGTCAGTCCTGCCTTGGTGTAATGGCTAACGCGCTGGACTTGCAATCCACGCTGTGGAAGAAACCTGGGGAAAGTTTTTTTAAGGTCCCCCCTGACCACCTCCCCGCCTCTGTCCACCAAGAAGTATAAATGGGTCTGCAAGGCAGTTATTAGGCAGGTCACGTGTGGTGGGATACAGTGTGGGTACTTCCAGATGTGTCTATCCAGCATGGTAAAATAGGTCCAATTACTAAAATAGGTCCAATACCTAAAATAGGTCCAATATCTTTTTCCACCTTGATGTGGCGATGGCTCTTTCCGAGCTCTCTTCGAGCTTAAATTTGGAAGCAAATGTCTTACATTGACATGCTAATCTCTCACAATACAATAGCCACCCCCAAAGCTTCGTTTCTGAGTTACATTCACTAACACAGCCACCGTTAGCTGTTTTAGTTAAAGGCGGCTTGCCATTCTTTTCCACCTCCATGTGGCGATGGCTGTTTCCGAGCTCTCTCCGAGCTGACATTTACAAGCATCTCTAAACCTTTGTAAACAGCTCTCTGATTGGTGTAGGCCTGCTGCAGGTTACGGAGCCCTCTCCGACATTAACATTAGCTGCCCCGCCCATCTCTAAACCTTTGTAAACAGCTCTTTGATTGGTGTAGACCTACTGCAGGTGACAGAGACCTCTACTACATTAACATTAGCTGCCCCGCCCATCTCTAAACCTTTGTAAACAGCTCTTTGATTGGTGTAGACCTACTGCAGGTTACGGAGACCTCTCCTACATTAACATTAGCTGCCCCGCCCATCTCTAAACCTTTATAAACAGCTCTTTGATTTGTGTAGACCTACTGCAGGTGTCGGAGCCCTCTCCTACATTAACATTAGCTGCCCCGCCCATCTCTAAACCTTTATAAACAGCTCTTTGATTGGTGTAGACCTACTGCAGGTTACGGAGACCTCTCCTACATTAACATTAGCTGCCCCGCCCATCTCTAAACCTTTGTAAACAGCTCTTTGATTGGTGTAGACCTACTGCAGGTGTCAGAGCCCTCTCCTACATTAACATTAGCTGCCCCGCCCATCTCTAAACCTTTATAAACAGCTCTTTGATTGGTGTAGACCTGCAGGGTACGGAGACCTCTCCTACATTAACATTAGCTGCCCCGCCCATCTCTAAACCTTTGTAAACAGCTCTTTGATTGGTGTAGACCTGATTTAAAGCTTTCGTGACTGCAGGGATTCATATTCTTGGTTCTTTCGGTAAAGTCACGTAGAAGAGAAACAATAAAATAATAAAAATATAAAAAATAAAATTATCACGACGTTTCGACTGCAACACAAGCAATCATCATCAGGTGTGAAAACCACAGCAAGAAAGTTTGAAAAAAGTGGCGGTTATTTTTAACGTTAGCACCACGGAGAGAGATTTGACAGTTATTCAGATGGACGAGTCCATCTATGTTCGGAAAAGAGGAGGGGGGAGCACAAAATAATGGATGAGGTCTGAAAGCCACCGTAAGCGTGAACAGTCAATTAAAACCCGAAATGGTTTATCAAATCCTTCCAATGATTGCTAAACCAGAATCCATCTTCTTGGCTGAAATTGTCTGTGTTTGTATATGTGGATAGTCTCATGAACGAATCTCTCATGGTAGCCAGATGGTTTGCAGAGAATCTCTGTCTTGGAGAAGTCAATGTCATGTGAGCCTACTGAATTATAACAGTGATCTGCCACGGCCGAGGTGTTGGTCCTACCGTGTTCTAGGTCTGCTTTGTGTTCACGAATGCGGTCCAAGACATGTCGTTTGGTTTCTCCAATGTAACTACTACCACAGAGGCAACTTAGTTTGTAGACACCAGGGTACTGTATGTCCGGAATCACATCTTTTACAGACGGAACCAGATCACGGATTTTATGTAATGTGTTGAATCGGACCAGGATCTTGTGTTCATTCAAGATTTTGGAGATCTTTTTTGTGATCCCAGCAATGTAGGGTAAAGTGATGGTTTTGAAAGACTCTTCAAGAGGGTCCTTCATGGTTGGAGTGATAGCTTTGCGGATTGTGTAGTCGGAGTAACCATTAGCCTTAAGAGCTTGGTGTACGTGCTTGAGTTCACTGGCTATGTGTTCCTGGTCGGATATGCATTGGGCTCTATGTTGCAGAGTCTTGATGAGGGAATTCTTCTGGGATGGATGGTGGTAGGAATCTGGTTTCAGGTAAGCATCCGTATGGGTAGCTTTCCTGTAGTCAGAGTGGCTCATTGAACCATCAGGTCGCTTTTTTATTAGGACATCCAAAAAAGGTAGCTTGCCATCTTTTTCGACTTCCATGGAAAATGTGATGGCTGGGTGTATGGAATTGATGTGGTCGAAGAATTGCTCTAGAGCAGGCCGGCCATGTGTCATAACGTACCTCTTCCATAAGGTTGGGCGCAGAGTGACAGTCTGGATGGCGTCAGTCTCAAATTTCTCCATGAAAATGTTGGCTACAACCGGAGATAGGGGGGAGCCCATTGGGGTGCCCTCAGTTTGTTTGTAGAAAGTTCCACTCCAAGTGAAGTATGTATTGGTTAAGTAGTGTCTAACGTTAAAAAAACCGCCACTTTTTTCAAATTTTCTTGCTGTGGTTTTCACACCTGATGATGATTGCTTGTGTTGCAGTCGAAACGTCGTGATAATTTTATTGTTTTATATATTTATTATTTTATTGTTTCCCTTATACGTGACTTTAGCGAAAGAACCAAGAATATGGTGTAGACCTACTGCAGGTTACGGAGACCTCTCCCACATTAACATTAGCTGCCCCGCCCATCTCTAAACCTTTATAAATGACCTGCCTCAGCAGCTTTCCCCTTTCGTCACCTGATGACGATTGCTTGTGTTGCGATCGAAACGGCGTGATATTGTTATTATTTTTATTATTTTTTTCTATCTACGTGGCTTTACCGAAAGACCCAAAGAATATGAATTCCTGCAGTCACGAAAGCTTCAAGGCAAAACTTAGGTCCGGTACTCTTCCGGAGTAGCTCTTTGGAGCTCCCTCGAGTGGAGGCCCTTCCCACGCGAGTCGCGTGAGCGAGCAAACAGCAGGGCTGCGCTTTTACCTTTTACATTTCAATGTACACTTGTTGGCACTTTAATGCGAGAAACCTGACGATGTGTTTTAAGAAATATGAAATGAAACAGGAATTTATATGCAAGGATCCACGGTGTACTTTCACGGCCATCATCAAGGGGCATTGGCGGTGGGTGCCGGAATGAATGTCTTCGTGTGAAGTTGCGTAACCACATCGGCGCCGGCCACCTTAGAAGGGAATTGTGTTCACAGCTACAAGAATTCTAATTACGTGCATGAGAGCCGCTCGCAAATTTTCCAGCAAATGTCGAGAGTAAAACACCCGTCCATCACTTTAAAAGGCAACATTTTTAATCTCACCCTAATGCTTACCAAGCTCTGTTGCGGACAATCGCTCGTTCTTAAGCGCTTGAACGGAGAATTTTATTTATTGGAACGTTGTCAACCACAAGTAACCAAATGTATCGTCCACCGTCTACTCTGCTGCACGCTGACGATAGCAACAACTTGGTGGAAGACAACAGTGCTTGTCCAAGGAATACTTGCCCCCTGTCAAAGGAATGTGGAATTGCCACCACTGTCTCAGGGCTGTACATGGGAGATGAGGGAGGGCTTTTCCATGCTATTAAGTCTGGCGAAGGTGGTTCACGAGAGCGCTGTGTTACCCATTCGTGCATCACGTCCACTGTGTGTATGTACGTTGACCTTCTTTCCC